TAGCCTGAAGCAAAAGATAAAAATATGAAATCTCTGAAATAGAAGTTAAAGTGATTACTTAATTTTCGAATTTTTCATTTTCCCATTCTCAAAGCAAATTTCTAGCTGATCTGTCGTAACGAAGGTATAGAACAAAGCCTTCGTAGAAGCAGGAAGGACAGACTCCAACAGTTTTGTCCTTCTTCCAGTGACAGGGGATCTGTAACTGAAAGCAAAGGTGAAGGTGAGCGGATCGGAGAACAAAAAGGCTCTTTCATCGTAACGTACGCTATAACGAAAACTTACGAAAACAATGTGACGTAATAGAATAGGATGCGTCTGGTTCTGGCGGTCTAAGATTGGCCGATGTGAAAGATGAGTTGCTGGTTTAATCGATGCTACAAGAGTTTTGAAAGTACTTTCTGCGAGACCCGACGCTCCATTTAAAGTTAATTTCCTTGACTCCGTTTAAAAGTGCCAGAGAGCGGTCAGTGAGGAGAGACGTGTTACGTTGGTACTTCTACGATACAATAAATATGCTAGATTGATGATCAAAATGTAGCTGCATTGGAACCAATAGCAATCTGCAAGAATAACGACGGCCAATTGATTTTGATTAAGAAAGGTAAATGTCCTGGCTGAATTTTTAACATGACTTTTGTTATCTATGCTTATTGATGATTCAGACTCACGAATATATATGTTAGTAAAAATGTAATAATAATATTTGTTTCTCCCTTTAACTGTCGTAAAAATAAAATATTGATTGAAAGGAAAATTTGATATAATATAAAATGAAATGAAAAAAATTTAATTCAAGAACTTGATAATAAAGTAAATTTAAGTAAATAGTAAGAGGCATGGAAATAACAAATGATTAAAAATGTAGTGCAGAGAGGAGTCGAAAGAGGCTTAATAACAATCGATGGTACCCGGATGCGTCCTATTCATACATGGTTCGTTGCGAGGGTGAACACGGATGAGATAAAGTTGCGAAAAAGGTTTCGTAGAACGATGGCGTAATCGGTAATGCGTTCGACTGAAGAGTACGTATGTATATATATCTTGCCAGTGGTTCGACATGAAAGACGTTAGCCGTTAGCAAAGGAACGCGGATAATGACGGGAATATGCTTCTAATGCTCTGGATTCATCGTGAAAAAACCACGACCGAAATGAGGATGAAGCCTCGAAAACATTCATCACTTTTGAACACTTCAGATTCTTCACTGTCTCGGATTTTTTGTCTTTCCCCCTAGACATTTCTATTCTGTATCTTCATCCTTTACTTTACAATATGCGATACCTAAGGATTTTTCCATTGGTCGACTTTGGAATATTCTGCAGCATGATGCAGGAATATTAGCATATATCGTTCATATTTTCAATTAAGAAGTGTATGCAGATCCACTTATCTACACACATTCCTCAAAGCATTCAAAACCTTGCACGTCATTATAAATTCAATCTCAAGCTTCGCTTTTGTTTAGGGAAATCGCTCTCTATAAAAATTTATCGACTATTTTTTAATTGACTTTCTTTATGTTATATATTTAAAAATTTTTTCGGCCATGAACTATATTCTAGAATATAATAAAGAAACATTAGTTTGTGTTTTTCACATTTCCATTTGGTAGATTTAGTTTACCAGCTTGTAATGTCTAATGTGCGTAAAACACATTACACACAGATGATTGTAACGAAAGTATGATTAGATACGATGAAAATGAATAGGTAAGTACAATCATTTCAATAAAAGTGAGCATTAATTTTGCCTTCACTAATCCAGATATGCCTTCCGGGAGCATGATTGCAAGATAATTTTTGTGTTTCTTTTTTTCAAGCGTTGAATTAATATCCAAGTAACTAATAATAGACAGTAATAAAAAAAAAAAAAAAAAAA